TAAAATGTATAAGTCAAAGTGACTTTTCTCTGTGATGTGTCTCAGAAGCTTTGATTTTATGAGGATGTCTGGTTTGCTCTGAAAATCAATACTTGGTTGCACTTTTCATTTTAATGAAGTAGATAATTCACATATATAGAACTGCCACCAAAATGTTATTTTACTCATTTAAAATGAAATTACAAGTCAATATGTGGGTTCCTCCTCATAGTGAGAACTGAAAATTTATGGTGAAGAAGTTGTCAAAAATGCCATCTTTAATAAGACTAGCAAAATTCCTCAAGGGGACTTTGGACCTTCTTTCTCACATGAAATATTTGCAGAAGTGATCAAAGCCTGATGTTCTTATACTGAATAGATGGCATGGAAATTCAACCAAATTAAATCTTCCAATATATAGATTAGGAGCAATTACTTTCTATTCTGATATCAATAGATTCACAAAGCTCCACTGTATATTACTGCTAGGTGTCAAGAGTCCCCAGTTATACTGGAAATTTGTTCTCTTATCCTTTGTCTAAAGTAATTGGGAGGTGTTTAACTAGGAAACAAATTTGAATTAGAGTGCCTGGATTCAGAGAAGGGAGGTTAACTTTCATCCTGCCATTAGCCACTCAGTGGGGATGCTGGAAACAGATCCACATTTTGGGGAGATTTCTTCCCTTAACAGTTATTAACATAGATGACGTAGAGGGAATGGGGAACGGCCTTGAAGAACAGGAGGAACAACTGCTACCAAGGCAATGGTTACATAAGTGAGGCTTGAGCTTGGGCCAAGAAACGAATTTGAGAAAACGACTCAGACAAGCCCCTCCCTAGTTCACACAAAGATAAAGAGGGCGGTGGGGAGGGGGAGGCAAGCACATGTAGACTTGCAAGATTCTGTTACTATCATGGTTAGAATAAAAGTACTCCTGACCTTTATGGCATTGGTTTCTGAGTCTACTCTACCTTGTAGGACTGACAATGGCCTATTTCAAAGAGGGCAATAAAAGGATAAAGAGTTGGACAAAACCTCCCCAGAACCAAAACCCAGATTTAACATTCTACCATGGGAGCTGTTTTAAACAAAGAAAAATATATTATGGAAATCTATCTACTGATATCATTTATTTATTTACTTATTTATTTATCATACTTATATAGCCACCCGTCTTACAGAATGTGACTCTGGGTGGCTTACAATAAAAATGATAAAATAGCAATATAAAAAAGACAATCAACAATTAAAACAATAATATATAATTTAGCAAGGTAAGAAGAGAGCATAAGATTACAGACAATGGGGCCATCTCATTAACTCACCATTCCCTTGGGACCCCCAAGCCTGATGACACAACCAAGTCTCAATAGAAGAGAATATGTGCAGCTCAGGGTTGAACTGTGGAGTCCTTGGGGTTCTCTGAGCTTGGTTGTTTTCTTGCAAACGTTTCATTACCCAGCTACATCTTCAGTGTTTCAGTGTTACCTAGCCGGGTAACGAAATGTTTACAAGAAAACAACTAAGCTCAGAGAACCCCAAGGACTCCACAACCAAATTTTGAAGGACTTACAAAACGTTAACAGGGATGGGGCCAACCTCACCTCAGGGGGGATGATGCTCCACAGGGCAGTGTGTCAACTCCAAATATGTTTATCTTTAATGACGATGATATGCATGAGATTCTGATGCTGCATTCTAAATGCACCTCTGCATCTGAAATACTTCACATACTAAATATCTATATAATAGATACCTTTTAAAAGCATAGAATCTCTTCCAAAAGTCAAGGGCCGGAGAGGGGGGAAGGGGGGCAGAAAGAAGTACTACCTTATCTATGTATTCATCATAGTAATATAATATTTAATTTTCAAACATCTGTGGTTATTTTCTTTAAAGACACCCACTGTTCCCTGAAGATTTGAAAGAGACATAGATTCTTACCCTACTACCACAATTATAAAATCTAGTAAATTCCAGCCATTGCGGAGGTAAGCGTTCGGATGAAAGAGAAGTCCATATGCTATTACTTTTAAAAATGCTTCCACTGTAAAAATTATGAGAAAGAGATATTCCACTCGTTCCTGCAGAGAAAAGAAAAAGAAAACATGGAACACAGTGATTAACTTTGAAAGATGACAGGAACATTACCTCAAGAGGAGAAAGAAAGTACTATACTTCCAAGTTAAAACAACTGTCTTCTTCACAAGATGGTCACATCATCTGGGGTAGTTTCCTAATGTCCCTCCCAAAATCAAGCCAAATAATTTACACATAACAATGTACTCTCTATGGTTTTGGCTATCTGGAACATAGCAGCACTTCCCAACCCAATGCCTTCCATATATATTTGACTTCAATTCCTGTAATCATGGAGCCAGTTACAGTAAAGCAGCACTAAAATCAACGTATAGTTATTTTAATTTTGTTACTTTTCAAATTTAAATTTGCACAGTCAAACAAAAGCATCATACGCATATCAGGATCAACATTCATGAAATAATGCTCTGGGAATCTTCTTTGAGGGAGAAAGAAGGAGAGAGAAATAATCTAGGAGCACAATGATAAACTATTTCCTGAAATTCTTTACTTTCTATTTCCATACTTTCATTCAAAGTAGAATTATATATTGTTGAATTATTTAGAGTTCCAAGTTTGTAATTGCAACTAGTGACCAAAAAAGAAAAGGAAAAGATTACATTTTTGGAGAGAAGGCAGTTGCTGAGAGGAGTTATTGAGAAGTGGTGTGACAAAGTGTAAAAGAAAACTTCATGATTAGAGTTATTCAAAAGAAATGTAGGCATATCACAGCTAAGTTCAGCTCCCAGCATTCTTCACCTCTGATCACAAATTTGAGGAAAGCTTCAGTTGCAGTTTATCAACATCTGATATACGATAGCGCCCTTATAGTATTGGTGCAGTTTAATAGTTTGGAAAACACATGTTTAACCAGTTGTTTGATCCTTGAAATTCATGTTGCTAAGATAAATTTTAGGTTTGAATTAGTTTTTGAAGGCTAATTTGAGTATCTTGATAACCTTTAAACCTAATAAAAATTACAGTGTGACAAATTAATAGGAACATACGTATATATACTCACACACAATAAGGCTGGTGTGACATTGTGGTGAAGGGGTTGGACTAGGAGTGGGGAGACCCAGGTTCAAGTCTTCCCTTAGATACAGAAGCCTAGTGGATGACTTGGCCCAGTCACTCTCTCTCAGCTCTAGACTGGCAAGTCAAAAATATCTATGTACCAACTCGCACTGGACTAGTGTGGCAAATTATGGTTCACAGCCTTCAGAGAAGATGCCTTCATCATACAGATGAAGATTCAGGATCATCATCATAGTCATTATCATCCTACCACATTCTCTCTCTCTCTCTCTCTCTCTCTCTCTCTCACACACACACACACACACACACTCATACAGAGACAGAGAGAATCCTATTCCCTAATGCTTCTTCTTCCACAATGTACTTTCACATTGGTTGCAAGATGATTTCCAGGTGAAATCAGGTTAATGGATGACTACAATAATATAATAAACTTCTTTATCGGTCAGGAAATGGAAAAAATCTCCCAGTCACCAGGAAATAGCCCCAAATGAAAGGGGCTATTTTGTTGAATGAAAACAAAGCTATGTACTACCAGGACTGTCTGATTACATAATGTCATATCTATGATTTTTGCAGAGTGTTCCTGAGTCTACCATAGTGCTCCAGTTCAGGCTATAAAAATCTGGATGGCCATCAGATGGCTGTTAAACTGTTTGAGATTTTGTATCGCTTTGCTGCCTTTAGCAGTCATTTGAATTGTTGAAGCTACAATATGGTTGCCCTATTCAAATATTCACATGGGACAATGAACAGTGATCAGTTGGTTCTGCTGATTGCCAGCCTGCTAGGACAAGTTCCTGGAAGTAAGGTTGCTTCCTCTTTGGGGGTATGGGCACAGGAACTTTCTCTCAAAATCAGCACTGCCATGGCAATTCCAGGATACCTGGTCACCCTATTTCAGAAAAAACAAAGAAGGCATGGCAGAAATCCATAACATTAAGAACTAAACCTTGCTGTTTGCTGATAGCAGCAAAGCAGATGTTTTCAAATATCTCAGCTGTAGGCACTGAAGAAGCTGCCACTTATATATGCTCTGAATTCTTTAGGCTCTAACTCCTTGGGGAGAAGTAGGACAGCTGCTTACAAGAGAACAGCTGGTTCTTTGCTGATCACACTGTTGTCCAGAACCCAAACCATCTGATATCAGCTTCAAAATATAGCAACATTTTGCTTGGATCAGATGTAGATCCAAGGACATGGCCCTTAATAAAAACTAAAAATTTAGCTCACAATTTGTATTACTGTCTAAGAGTTTTTCAGTTTGTAATAGAATTTTCAAGTTGTTTGAATTTTGTGATTGGCTATTAGCAAGTAGCTATCCCCAGTCTACAGATAGGTTAGGGAGAGTTGCATAAAGCTGTATGTTAGTCAATTGCGGTATAAAAGTTTGGGTATTGCAGATCAAAGCCTAAATTGAAATCCAGATAACTTATCTGTTTAAGGAATCACAATTATTTCAGGAAGCCAGGGATAGATAAATTGAGGTCCCAAGACCACAGGCAGTTCCCCAAACCCTTTTTCTTTTTTTGGGGGGGGGGATGTCTCTGGAGCTTCCTCTGACCAGAAATGCAGAGGATGCTACCTCCCTGTTTTGAGATGTGAGCTGTACAAAAACTGCAGAGTAGGATCTAAAATAAGTTTCATCTAGTTAAAGCAAAGAACCATCTTTGCCAATGCCAAGGGGGGGAAAAAGCCAAACAGAAAATATTGGCTGTGTCAAATGCATGGGCCAGGCTCAAATGATCCTACTTCGGACACATTATATGAAGACCCAGATCTTTGGAAAAGGCTCTAATGCTTGGAAAGGTAGAAAGAAAGAGGACAATCGGCAGCAAAGTGGGTGGACTCAGTTACAGTGGCGAAGGATGCACTGCTGGAAGACCTGAAGGACCAGGTTAGGGACAGATCATCATGGAGAAAATCTATCTATGTGATAGCTAGGAATCAAAAACAACTTGATGACACATAATCAATCAATCAATCAATCAATCAATCAATCAATCAATCAAAATGCATGACACTGCTAACCTGATGTACATTGCTGTTCTACCCTCTTGCAGCCCTTCCCCCAGAAAATGTCATGGAGGCCACAGCTACCATAAAATGGTCCATTCCTGCAGTAAATCTTGCAGTGCAGTTTGTATCACTTGGGGAGGCCAGGCAAAACTCACTGGTAAGTGTTGCTAGAGAGCAAAGCATCCTTTTCAGATTAGGAAGGTAATCTCTTGCCTGAGTCAAACATTTTGCTTGACAAGGCTAAAAGTTGTTGTTTAGCCTATTGTGTGAACTGGTCATTATGTTTAAGCCATAATATGGTTTACTTATTTGGGCACATCGGTTGATATGAAACAAGCATTTGTATTTTGTTAATCTGGGTTTAATATTAAGTATGTTGTGTGAAGTCAGCCACTGTATTTGTTAATGTCAGAATATAAAACTTCTCATATTCTGACCTACCATATAATATAACTTCTTTATATGTCAGAATATAAAACTTCTTATATTCTGACCTACAATGGAAAAATCTGAATGGCAGTTCCAATCTCAGGACTCTATTGTAATTAACACTAAACACAGTGTTTCAGGAAAAAGATTTAAAACCTGTAAACACAGAGAGAATATGCTTATTCTCTGCACCAGCTCATTCATAGTTCATCTATCTTTGCAAGGAAGCAGGTAAAAACTGTACTTCATCTCTTACCCTGTCAAAGATACACCCTGACCAGCAAACTACTTCCAGATGTTGTCACTGAAATATAATTGATTAAAGAAATGCTAACCATCCTGAGACATCCTTCAATTATGTTGGACAAATGCCTTACATTGCTTTTTATGTTAGGCTTTGTTCCTCCCACAAGCTTCTATCATTCACTCCAGAATTATAGTTTTACTACACCAAATATAGCAGAATATAAACAGAGTCTTCAGGATATCTTCCCTTCCATCCTTTCCACATTTGCAGGATTCCCTCATTCATCTTCAATATTTACATTATTTTCTCTTCCTGTTTTTAATAATAGTACATTATATATCCAAACACTCACTGCAGACATTTTATTGGGTTCATTTGCAAATTTATTTCATGTGATAAATAATGTTTCTTTGTTCTATGGAGGACTAAAGAATGTGTTCTGTGCTAGGATGGTGGTCAGGTCTGGGGGCCTAACGGTCATTCTGTATGAACAGAAGGCATGCACTATAATATGCCTATTATATAAAGCAGTACGTGAGTGTGCAGGAAAGAAAACAAGAACAGCCCAAATGGCAGATTAAGTCATGAATTTAATTTTTAATATTCACACCTATCAATTTATCCTCTATAGTTAGAAACACACAATTAAATAGTAAATCTCTGGCTCTGTTAAATTCTCCGCTTGCCCAATGGAGAAGCTGTCATATCACCATCTGTGTTCCAGGCTACAATTCTAAACTTATCTCTGATTGAGTATCCTTCTGTAGGCATATAATAATACTTCCCTTAGCTGAGAATGAGGAGCATTACCTCATCTTCTCCTGTACTTCTAAGATTAAGTTTCTCCCTTAGCAGCAAAATACCAGCTAATGGAATGTCTCTAATACTTCAGAAAATAGGGCTTTGATCTATCCAGATTGTTCACCCAATCATATTCATATGCTAAACTGTTCATGACTAAGGAAAAGCAGTTTTCACAATTTATATAAATGTTTGTACTTAAATCTCTGTAGTTACAGTATACATGAAGTATAGTATAATGTTTAAATTATTTCTGGGATAAGTACAAGATCAAGAGATCTATCACCAATCACCTTCATGTTAATGATTTCTAAAAGCTGGCAATCTATCTGAATAAGTTTGTTAGCGTTTAAGATGCACTCATACTTCTGAGATATTGTCTTAAAATAAACTGAAAATGTGCAGTTGTGATGTATGGCTACTATATGCCTGTAAAAGACTTGGATGGTTAAGTAACATATGCCTCTTTTTGCCATGTTTCTGATGCTTATAAGATTTCTTTAAGCTTCATGTTCCAAGGCACATGGAACTTGCTAGGACAGAGAGGCCCAGATCCAGGATCTACCACTGGATGCTGGCCTCTGTACTAAAGGACCTAGCTAATTATGTTCTTCTACCCAACCTTACCAAGTCTGTGTTAGGATTTCCCCCCTCTTTCTTGCTCCTTATATAATTAATAGTAATCATACTGAAAAAAAATCTATAAAATACTTTGTTACAACAGTCAGTCTAAGAGGATGCAAACAGATAAACTCCACCAAATATAACATAGCAAAATACATGTGATATACCAAAATAAAATGCTGCAGCATTTGGAATCCTACAGTTTGTCTTGGCAGATCTGGAAGCTAATCAGTCTGGTCTGGTTAATCCTTCCTGGAAGACCTCTAGGGAATATCAGGGCTGTGTGCTAGATTGAGAAATTTTTTAAAATCCTGGAAGAGGGCGATGACAAACCTGATACTATTGCCAAGAAAATTATCAGAGTGGGTCCGTGACATCACCAAGTAGAAATCTGTAAAGCCAAACATTCTGAGAAGGAACATTCTGGAGAATTCTAGAATCTTCTGTTCCTCCTCTGAACCACAATAATCCACCTGAAAGGGAGGGGGGAGGTATCCAGCAGTTTTCTGGTCCCATTCTTTTCTCAGAATGTAGGTTGAGGCAACCTGCCCTCAAAAAAGACTTTATATTTACCGTATTGCAAAGACCACTTCCAATTTTAGCAGAGAGACTCTACAATTCTTTCCCCATAGAGTAGGTATATGATCTTGTAATGCCATCTCACTACTCCTACAGAAAAATAACAATTAGATGTACAATCTCTCGTTCTCTCTCAGAACATAAAGATCTTCTTGGCAGATATCTATTCATGCCATATTTGAATAACATGGGGCCTTTTACTACATTAAATGTTAAAAAAAATGGCATAGACTTTTATTCATAATTCCATTTCACCCCATACCAGTGAGAAATTATTCTAGCTGCAGAAACTATTAGCTTATCCTAGAAACCTTAATGATCCTATTATTCTTAAGATTCTTTTTCCTCTTCCTTCCTGTGAAGGAAAATTATTTCCTCAACTTATTTAATTTTTCTTTAAATACAGATGTCCAGCATACCCTTGACTAAATTAATGCACTATGTATTTTATTATCATTACTCTTCAGTTGTATTGTTCTGTACTTCTTCAATCTCAAGTATGCCATTGTATTGGTAATATTAACTATTTACTATGTTGACTGGTATGATTTCTCCACAAAACTAGATCTTAGAGTTGAATCAAATAATATATTAGAATACTGAAGAAATGGAACACATTCAGAACCAATAGTTTGGGGATAAAAACATCTACACAAGATAACATAATGCACTGTGCTACCATCAACCTGGGTTGAGAGGGTTGTTGGCAAGAGGGAAAGCTGAGAAATGAATACTTATTGAGTTAAGAAAATTCATTCAGAGGACAGAATGAATATGAAACAGTTTTCTTGATTGGTTATGCAATCTGTCCAACTCTTGTTATGACATCCCTCTTCCCTCTAGATATGGGATCAAGCTATCATTTCTCTGACAAGTTTATAGCAATTTACATCACTGGCGTTTTTCTCCAACAACTTTACTGTAATCTGAAAGCTCACTCACGTATGTGAAAGAGTGCAAGGTGAATTCTGGTTTATTCAAATACCTGTGTCCTTTACCAGAATTTCCCCAAATGCACCCACAGAATATTATAGCAACTTATATTAGCGGCTATTCCATTGCGTGAGATGTATTTTAAGAATTTTGTAGCAAGGAACAAACTGAGAGGAGCAATTTGTAAGTGGAAGAAATTAAGCGGGTAGCCAAGGAAAAGAACTTGAGTGTAACAGATACTGGATTTCTAGATTACATGTTATCAACAAACCTTTTACAGGAATATCCTTTTCTGTGTGATTGTTAACTCATGGCCGCAATTAGGATGAATAAAACTGATCTTTAGTAATACGGAGCCAGAATGGAATACTTATAGGATCAACTCTATAAAACAGATTCTGAGGCAGATTTGTTGATACTGGATTCCTTCCAAAACACACTTTGTTGCTAAGGAGACATGAGGCACAGTTTAAAAAAAAAATCCTGCAAAGGATTCAGTACATTTCTCTCTTTTATCCAGGAAACATTGTCAATATAGTAAATAAAGGCCTTTTCTCTTGTCACAAAGAAATTTAGAGTACTGCATATGGCCAGAATGAAGTCAAAGTCTAACAAGAATCAAGAAGGAAGGATCTGGCATAAGAATAATAATTTGAAGTATATTATACCTATATCTACCAAGCATAAATAAAACATGTTTTCACTGTACCATGGATCCCATTTCCTAGAATAAATCTTATGGGTCTATGAAGAATGGGGCAGTCCTTATTATGAACTCCCTGATCCCAAGTTATGAACTAGTTGTGAGTAAACCTCTCTCTAACCATTACCATATTTGGGAGCAAATAAGAGCTCACACATTGTATTGCTCTTCCATCAAAACAAAACCAAACAAAACCAATTTTAAATGTAAGAACATCAGTGAAAAGGCATGAGGGTCCTCCTCACAAAGATTCCATTTTCAATAGAGAATAGTCTTTATCTGTTGGTTTTTTTATGGTGGATATAAGAACCATTTTGAGTAAGAACTGATGCCTATTGATTCATACAGCACATGTTTTGTGCATAGAGATGGTTAAAGAACAGACTCGATTCTTTAGCAACAAAGCTTGGAGTACTCTTTCAACACCATTTATTTAATAATTGCCAACATTTTTTTAAATATAATTTCTATTAAAGCTTTCAAAAAGTACCTAAAAACTAACACAAGCTAATATAAGGAAGAAGAAACAAGAAATCAAAGAAAAAGCAAAAAGTGCAAGAAAAGGAAAAAAGTTAGGAAAAAGCAGAAAAGAAAGAAAAACATAAAGAAATGGCTTCTGATATTCTTCACAGCAGTTATAAGTACAAATATATTTTAACCTCCCTCTGTCTAATGGTACATCATATTGCTCTTCTTTCTATAATCTGTCTAATCATCAAAACCATAAATCACAAGTTCATTTTTTTCCATTTTTACAGAAAAAGTCCAGAAGAAGCTTCCAATCACCAATAAATGTAGACAGTGTCTTTTCTGTAATACCAAAGTCTGTTTTTCAAGTATG